AAAAGGCTTTGGACTTGTTACTCGAGATCTGTTCCACTTTCTCCTGTTCTGCCTCTATCTCCACTTGCAAAACCCTAGACATGTCTGAAGCAGCCTGCTTTGCGTCCTTAGCAACCAACGCCGTGTATCTTGCGGTTTCAGGCATCTTGGATCTTGAGTAATACGTCATTGCAGCAGGGATAGCACCAACCATCAAGATTATACGCCACACAAAATCTGCTTGAGGCACCGTGGATGCATCGGCATCATCTTTATAGGCCGGTGCAGGGAACTTAGCTTCAAAAGCAGAGGAGATGATTATAGCGAAGATTCCACCAGCCATGATCCCAAACCCTTGCATAGCGAAAACAGCTGAAACGAACGCGCCACGTGTCTTCTTGTTAGCGTATTCAGACATGATCGTTGCGGACAAAGGATAGTCACCACCGATCCCAAACCCTAGCCAAAACCTAAAGAAACATAGCGTGGCCATCACGGATTTTGGCTTGTCTCCAAAAGAGAGACCAGAGGCTACGGAGCAGAGGACCATGACCATCAAAGTCATACCATAAACTTTCTTCCTCCCGAGCTTATCACCAAGCCACCCGAAAAAGAGTTGACCAGCTAGGGTTCCACAGAAGGCAACACCGTTGACGGCAGCAGCAACGTTGGGAGGGAGAGTCCCTGGCTTCGCAGAGCCTGGGACGTGGTAGTAAATGCGTCCAAGGAGCTTGGTGACAAGAGAGATGCAGAAGAGATCGTAAGCGTCGGTGAAAAATCCCATTCCGGCGATTATGATCGCCGTAAAATGGTACCATTGTGTCTTTGCTACATCAAGTGCATTCAACACTTGTAATTGATCCTTTGCCATTCTTCTTCAGCTCTGTAATTTCATCAGAATTCAATATTAGCAACGTTTAGTAAAATGATTATATAAGAACGATTGCTTGTAGATTTTCTTTAGTTTGGATGTGCAAAATTAGAATGTGTTTGTTACAAACATTAAAGCAGATACCTAACTTGGAACTAAGTTAGGCAATTTTAAAAAGCAAACAGAACTATACATTTAAACCGCACTTGAAATTTCATGTTAACATTAATACATAGTATATGATTTTTTTTTTTTAGTTTTCTCATTTCGTTGATCTCACGATCACAACTCATAAAGTATGTTGACCTAATATTAAAAAAAGGGAGTAAGGTCTGTTGATCAAGCCTGAAGTAAGGAGGTAACTGGCAATTCTAAAGCCATTAATAAACTACATGTGTATATTTAATAGAAAGGTATGAAGTAACTTTTAATAAAACTTATTATTTTTTTATGTTAAAAAGACTTTAAGGGGCCGATTGGTTATGGCTGTAGCTTTAAATTTTTGGCTGTAGAAAAAATGCTGTAGTTTTTTTGATGTAGCTTTAGATTTTATTGCTGTAGATTATATGGAAAGCTCAAAAAAAATGCTTTGAATATTTGGCTGTAGAAAGCACTTGTACAGCTGTAGATTATTTCAGGAGCTGTGATTTTTACAAAATCATTAAAGCTTGATTGCTGTGAATTTGGTGCTTTAGAAATACATGGTGCTCTGGAGAGCACCTACAGCCATTACCAATCACACTCTAAGTCTTTAAGCATTCACAGACTAACTATCTAACTTGTATTTAAATAATCGGAAAAACTTGTATTTAAATAATCGAAAAGCTGTATTTAAATGATTGATTCCTAGATTTTCGATTTTCCAAAAATAAATAAATAAATAATTTGTTATACGAAAAACCTGTATTTAAAAAATTGATTCCTAGATTTTCGATTTTCCAAAAATAAATAAATAATTTATTATATTCTTGTTTGGTTTCTTTACGCCTACGTAACTAATTCTTTAAAAGTAAACGAGGAAATGGAAGGGTCCATATACTATAGTATGAATTTTCAACGATTACTATTTTGTCTTTACCCTATTACCCACGAAGGTTGACTTGTGACATTTGAATCTGAACACGATACCATCACTTCTCACGAGTAAGACAGCAAGTTGTTTTGTCTTAATTGCGGACACACTTACTCATCAAATTAAATACTATAGTATTTCCTCTTAGTGAAGACATTATATTTTTCTTTCCTTTTTATTAGAGTAACATTATTTTCGTTATTTACGTGCTTGTAAATCATCTGATTCATGCACTTATAAAAATGTCTAATATTCAGGAAGAGAACTAATCAAACAAATACGTCTTCAAGAAAACTAATCATTGTTAATGATCCAAGAAAATTGGATAACACAATGAATTTTTTTTCTTAAAGTAACAATAAGAGAATCACAATAAGCTCAGATTGATCCAAAATCACTATACTGACAAATACCAAACCAAGATGGAAGAGGCAGAGTGGCCAAAAACAACAAGAAAATGATCGTTCTTATTAATCCTAACTAACATCATTTTGCATCCATACAAGAACGAAAATTAAACAAAACTAGGAGCTGGCCAAATTGTACAAAATCATTCAAAACATAAATGAGAAGAAAGACTTACATGAATATACAACAATCTTCTTTGTTACGTGTGTGGGATATGATCTTATCAAGTGAGAGGAGTACAGAGAGAAAGGTCCTTTAGTTTCCTCTATTTCTGGGGAAAATGTAGAGAGATAGAGGGGGAGGAAGTAAGATGAGCGTTGAGGCTGCCGATGAACAAGGACAAAGTGTAAGCGTTTTGAAACGATCATTTATAAGCGACTCCATATGACATATTCCATTTTATGTTTCGGTATATTCTCCTCCAACGACGTCGTTTTGGCTATCTTCAACGTATTTTTCTCTTTTTCTCACAACTTTTATTTTACTTCGTTTAGGTATTATTAGGACAGGAAGTTTCTGTTTTGCTGTAATTATTCTTTTATTATCTAAAAACAGCTGTTTTACTATAATAATAAGTTCTTGTTTTGTACTTGTAGTTGACCATGAACTGTGTTTAGATATACGGAGATTTTAAAGTATTTAATAATACTGGGATCTTCACCATTCAATACAATCACTAGATACCTATTCCCTGGCATATTATTTAGGTAGATATAAGTTTTAAACCATAATATAGTCAAAATAGGGGTAAAAATAATTATAACAAAATGAATTCAATTAGTAGTGTGGTCAAACTTTGGTTACTTAATTATAAAATAGTACACTATGTTTGTCTAATTCGAGACAATCATTTATTAATAAATATTAAAATTTGATGACACTACTATCTTATAAACTTGTAATAATAACTTTTAATTAAAATAAAACTAACTTAGGGACGTGAACAAAAGTATTTAGAAGAAGAAATCAATATTGATACAACATGCAGTTATTCTTGACAGATTGTACGGCAAAATGTTATTTTAACACTTTTTCAAATTTTGTTTAGTGATTATACATATGTCCAAAACTTTTTAAAAACGAAAAAAAAAAGAGTAACTGCATAATATGATATCTATATCTACGGAGTACATACTACAATGTCAATTGTATTTATTTGAGTATGGCCGTATGGGAATAACACTTATTTGGGTATGAGTAAGGCTCCTGACTTGTGGAATGGTCTGTTTCGTATCTGACAAGTAAGAGACTTTAATGCATTTCCAGAAATACAAGTTGCTTTAGCCCAGCAAGTTACCTTCTCTTCCGTGACCCAACAAGTTTTTTTTCGTGGCATCTTAATTTCCATCTGTTATTATGTGCTAATATTTTATGCAATAATACTATAAGTAATGCTCTATATACATGTGAAGTAATTTCCTGGTGGAGATATTATATACAACACACATTTTTTTCATTTATAGTTGAGTACAATAAATTGTACATATTGGAATAAAATTGTACATCTATATGCTGCTAATCCGTTTCGATTACATAGCAAAACGGGTAAAAAGCGTAAGGAAGTTTTCAACTATTATAGCTACGTACGCTATGTTGGAAAATCACATAAACACATGAGATTAGCTATAGACTTACGATCTGATTACTCAACTACCATCTAATTTCGATGTCACTTCAAGATGTAATTCCTACAAATTCATGATGACTTTTGTTGTCAGAACATAAGATTTCAAGGTCTTACGTTCTTCGCATGGTGCAGAAACGAAATTTATTTTAAAATGATATGATGGATTATGGGTGCCTGTTTTCGACCGATGATTGTGATCCCCAAGCGGAAAAAAAATTGGAGACTAATAAATGTTTTGATTTCCTCGTTATTTGCTTATAAATTACTACTATTAGCAATATTATGAGTAGAAACTTGGTTCAAAACAATATTTTATAAATTATTGTATCCCACTTTTTCTTCCGCGACGTTAGCAAGTACCAACAAACGGAAAAAAATAAAATTGATGGCTTGACTCTATCTATATCAGAGTTGACTAATTAAATGTTGATGTCTTTGGTGTTGACATCTTACGTCGATGTGCTGCAGTGTTATTGCTTGCAAAGCTGACTTCTTTGTCCACAATGACATCGTTCACATTGGACGGTACGATCCTTAACTTTTTATAGTTACGCAAGGTCTAATTAAATTATCACACTATTATTATGTCAATTATGTGTCTCTTAGATATTTTTTAATGGAATAATGAAGTTAGATGAAGGTAATCCTCAGCATCCACACATGGAGACCATTATTAGCAAGAGAAGACGAATACAATACTAGTAGTAGTACTCTTCACATCATTGATCTATGAGATTATAACCAGTATTTTTTGGAGTTAGTTTTGAAACGTTTAGACTTTTTTTCTATGAGTGCAAATTAGAGCATCCACCTAAAAGAAAAAGCATGAGAAATAGATTGAGGACCAAACAAGTTGTGGCGTTATCTTATCATTAATGTTTGATTCACAAAGGAAAATTGAAGGCATTTTGAATTTATGCATGTCTGAGTGATGGAATCATAGTCCATGAATCTATGCTACTCCATTTTCTCCTATATCTACGATTGGATAGAACGTCTGGGCCAACCAATGACTTTCATTGTCAAAACTCTATAATAAATAGTTTCTTTTTTAGAAAGAACTCTATGATAAATACTCCTTCCTTTTCAGAATAATTGTCATTCTAGAATTAATTTTTTGTCACAGATTAAGTGTCGTTTTAGAGTTTTGAGATAAAATTTATTAGTTTTATATAATATTCTATTTTTTATTTGTTGAAAAGTGGTTAAGTGTATAGGTAATTGTGTTTTTATCTTGAAAATATGTAAAATTAAATGTTTCCTTAATCTGTGTGCAAAAACGTAGAATGCAATTAAACTGAAACGGAGGGAGTAGTTGCTAGGAAAAAAATTCTAGACTTTCATTTACAAAAAAAAACCCATTAAGATGTTCTAAACTATTTTCCAATTTTATATATCCTGGTTTATTACAGAATTTATCAAGCATATCTTAAAATGGTTGATACATTTATAAGGTCTACACATAAAAATACGTAGAACATTAGTTAAGGATGGTCTAAATTAACATATTGAAACTGTTAATGGTTTATTGATTTTACATAGTTGCATTAGGTTATTTTAGTTGATTTAGGTTCTTACAAAACTAATAAAATAAAAGTAAAACCATTAAGTCGATTTTCTTCTTTTTGTATAAAGAACATTAGACTTTTCTTTTCTCAGAGAATCTTGTAATAGAATCTTAATTACTCTAGAAATTACAAAAAAGAGACAAGAAGAAACTGATAAAAGTAAAGATAAGAAAAAAAAGAAAATAATATCCAGTCCACACCAAAATTTTCTAAATTACTGATAATTTTCTTTTCGTCATTTAATTTTTTCCAATTTTTCATAAGGGATTACGTCAGCAATAATAGAGTAGACGAGGATATGGTCAACTCTTTTTTGGCCTAATAAATTAAGACAAAGTGTGGATGCGTGCAAGTCGTGAGAGTAATGACAAACCCTTAATAACAATTCTTATTTATTTTATTGTCGACGCGGAAAATAATTATATTTGAACAATGATCCTAAAGGACCTAAACTAATTATTTTTTTGTAAGTCCAAACAAAATTATTTTGGTTTTGGAGACAGTGTGAATCACTGATTACAAAACCTCGAGTAAATAATTATACTTAGTTGGTAAAATGTCGACTCAAAAGATATTTAGTTCTGGACAATGCCAAAAAAATATATCAAGCCGATTCTTGAAAGATTCTTGAAAGTCTAAACAAATTGATACTTCTCCAACTTGTGTTAAACTGTGTAAACGGAAGGCATCCTAACGCCTAACATTTAATCCGTTTAGTTATTCATAAAAAGAAAAAAACTTTGGAATTCAAAGTTTTAGGTAAATACGAAACAAAATGCAGAGAAATCATTGTGTGAAAATTAAAGGCCATGAAAAGGACAGAATTGAGTTGGAAAAGTTGACAATCTTATGGCTGGGAATTATTGTTGGCCATTTTCAACAAGAACAATACTAAAGTGTTACCTATAAGGCTATAATGCGTATTCGCTTATGTATGAGGTTGGCTAAAAAGCGTTGATAGTTCACACACCCCAACTTTGTAGCGTATAGAATCTTGCTTTTTACTTAAACTCAAATTTGCCACTCTCTGCTTCGACCGCTCATGGCATCAAAAAGGTAACGGAGTCGGATTTTCACGTAGCAAAAGTTATTCGGCCTCTTAATTCTGCAACGTTTATACGTTTGTTTTTTGGGGAAAGTAGCCCAAAATAGTACTATTGAAACTAAAAATATATGTTGAATTAGAAAAGGCATATATACTTATTTTTTTGGTGAATGATTTTATATATGAATTGGAAGAAACAGTTCTTATTGACTGAAAATTATATACACTGATTGTAAAGAATATTTATACTAGACTAACACACTCCAAAATGAGGAAGGACAAATAAACCATCAAAAGTCCACAAAGTGGGGGTGAAAATTACACCCACCTATAGTATAATAGAACCTGATCAAATATNTTTTTTTGGTGAATGATTTTATATATGAATTGGAAGAAACAGTTCTTATTGACTGAAAATTATATACACTGATTGTAAAGAATATTTATACTAGACTAACACACTCCAAAATGAGGAAGGACAAATAAACCATCAAAAGTCCACAAAGTGGGGGTGAAAATTACACCCACCTATAGTATAATAGAACCTGATCAAATATAGAGATCCAAGACATTATTTATACGTAGATGGTTGAATTATATTGATAGTGAACACCAACGGAAAATGTGATAACCAGAAACTGTAATTAATAATAACATATGACGATTGCGTACTATCATGTTGACGAAAATCTTCAATATACAAATTCTTTTTAACCAAAATAGTAACTTTTAATTAGAACCATTTTACGCCTTGTGTACCAGGTGCTTGAATTTGATTCTGGACCAACATGTCATTATAACTCAGTTCGAATAGGAGAGAGATGATGGAGTTAAGGATGCTTGGTGGTTTCTCTTTAGCCAAATCTTGTAAATAGCAAACAGTTATGACGAGTGGCCAAGCGGGATATATCTGTTGTTGAGTGGTAACAAGGAGTTTGTGGTTGAAATCCATGGCAAATTTGTATTATATACATATCAATTATTTAACTTGTTATAGTTACAGTATTATCCAACGATTGTCGCAATACGTTGTCAATATCATACAATATATAAGGCATGGTTAAATAC